TGGATGGATGGATGGATGGATGGATGGATGGATGGAGGGATGAATGGATGGATGGATGGATGATGGATGGATGGATGGATGGATGATGGATGGATGAATGGATGATGGATGGATGGATGGATGGATGAATGGATGGATGGAAGGATGGATGGATGGATGGATGGATGGATGAATGGATGGATGGATGGATGATGGATGGATGGATGGATGGATGGATGAATGGATGATGGATGAATAGATGGATGGATCGATGGATGAATGGATGATGGATGGATGGATGGATGATGGATGGATGGATGGATGGATGATGGATAAGATTCAGAAGATTTAGTAATTTTCCAAAGACCACACAGATTATAAATGTCAGAGCCTATAATCAAACCTGGGTCTTCTAACTCCAAGTCCAGTGCTTTTCACTCTCTAATTATGACATTTCCCATAATATGAATGAATGAAAATGGTTAATTTCTATTAATGAGAACACCTTTCACACATGTGCTCTTTCTTATTGTGGTCCTAGGCTGACTAGTTCTCCTTGGCAATTTAATAAAATGAAGAGTGTGGATCAAGCACATCGTCCCATCTTCTCAGCAAAACAGCCTTCTCCTGTGCACGCACACGCACATACATGTGCTCGTACACACACACACAGAATTTGACACTGCCTGTTTATAAATTGAGTTCTTTCCTCTTAACAGCCCACTTGATGTGTTTACCCAGTGCCAGAAGTCTTCACTGGCTTCAGAATTACGCAGCTCAAAACATTGACTATTCAATCTTGTGTGCGACCTCTCAGGTGTCTTTTCATCTGTAGCATGAGGATAAGAGTAGATGCTCCTTGGCAGGTTGCTGAGAGGAGCCCATTGCATTCCACCCATGAAGAACTGGGCACCATGCTGGCACATGGAGGCTCTCAATGAATACGAGCTATTATTAATTCTACTATTACGAGTCTTCTAGTAAAGTCTTAAGAGTTCTGCATTTCAGAGTAGTTGCTGTTTGGTTTACGAGCTGGTGAAATAGAATTGGTCGTGTCTTTCCTTAGTTGTCTAAATCAAGCCATCAACTCACCTTCAGACCGGATGAGGGGTCCCCAGGACATCTGGTGTGTGGCAGCAGTTTCACTACTTCTCAGCAGCCGAAAGTCATCACAATTCTGTTTTGTTTTTTTTTTAAGAGAGACACCTCAAGTTAGTTGAACAATGTTTATGGGAAATTAGTTCACTATCAGGGATGAACATCCAATTCGCATGATGGAGCTGTCAAGTCACAAAACGGACAAGTTTAGACAGGGGTGCGGGAGCGCTGGAAAGGCCTGGGCCTGGAGAGGCCTGGGCCACAGGGGCTGAAGGGAGTGGGGCACACGAGAGTGGCAGGATGGAGAAAGCCTACAACCCGCCTTTGGTCAGTCACGCTGGCCCCTTGGGGCTGGAAAGGCCTGGGCCACAGGGGCTGAAGGGAGTGGGGCACATGAGAGTGGCAGGATGGAGAAAGCCTACAACCCGCCTTTGGTCAGTCACGCTGGCCCCTTGGGTCCCTCAGGGACAGTGACTCAGTGGCAGCTCCAAGTCCCCTTAGCATTCTCCAGAAGCTATGTGGCTATCTGCTTCTTCACACCTTTGCTTTACAACAAAGGCTGCCTGGCTCAGTGACATTGTGGAATCTCTCACTACAGGAAAAGTGCATGGAGAGATTTGTATTATCTTTTACTTCTATTTTTCCACGAGCTTTTTGAAGTCCCCTCGTACACCTGTAATGGGTTGCATTGTGTCCTCCAAAAAGATATTGAAGTCCCAACCCCCAATATCTGCAAATGTATGGAAATAGGGTGTTTGCAGATGATCGTTAGATGATCTCATTAGGGTGGGCTCTAATGCAATAGGGCTGGTATCTTATGAAAAGGGGAAGTTTGCACACAAACACAGATATGTGCAGCAGGAAGGCAACACAAAGACAGAGAGAACGCTGTCTGCAGGCCAAGGAATGCCTGAGGCCACCAGAAGCTGGGGAGAGGCCTGAGACAGATCCTTCCCTCACAGCCTCAGAAGGAGCCAGCCCTGCCCGCAACTTGATGACAGACTCCGACCATCCAGAACCGTGAGATGACACATTTTTGTTGTTCAAGCTGCCAGGTTTGTGGTACCTTGTTATGGCAGCCCTAGAAAATTAACACGATGCCCATCCTAAAGGAGGCAGGAGAAAAATATGTCAAACTCATTGCAAAGAATCTGAGCACTGGCGCTCCCTGCAGGGCCAAGCTGTGTGGTGGCTGTTGACACTTATTTCTGAGGCTCTGGTGCAGCCAGTGCAGCAGGCTGTCACAAGGAGTGGTCTGGTCCTTGTGGCCCACTGCTCAGGAGGATATGCTGTTTGAGAAAAAACGACATTAGCAAAACTGGCCGTCACCATGTTTCTTCTTGTATCCATGTCCTGCTGTCACTCAGAGGCAGATCACCTAGGAAAACTGCAGAGTTCTGTGCACCCTGTCAGATGAGCTCAGGAGCCAGCAGGTCCCCCAAAGGAGAGACACACATTCAGTCAGTGAATGAAGGGCCAGCAGAGCTTGCTAAGCTTTCCTGTGCTCAGAGAGCAGGTGACAACATGTGAGGTCACTGTACACGCTTGCCTGTGGTAGAAAGAATGGCTCTCAAACCTCAGGACTGCCGAGCATGCTTCACATCCAGAGGACTGAGGAAAAAGAAGGCAGAGTTATTTATAACCCCTGCGTGAATGTTGAACACAGAGAAGGAGGAAACCTTATGAAATAAACATCACAGCAGCTCACATTTAGTAGTGTTCTGTCGATGTTGCTAAAAATATTAAGTTAAAATAACATTTTTACTCCTAAATATTCAATAAATCATCTTGATAGAATCACTATGGTGTCATGACCAGGTAGTGCTGGTGTGACAGCCGGTGGAATGGTGTGGCCTCAGGGACCTAGTTTAACCACCGACAAATCTGAAATGCCCCACCCGCGCATACTGGTCCTCTGCCCAGGGCTGTCTGCTACCGCAAGCTCATTTCAGATGCTGGCTCTGTGGGGCCCAGTGCCTCCACCCAGAAGCTGGCTCAGAGACACCGGAGCCCTGGCTTTTACCAACACAGTGACTGTCCTCATCACAGTGAGGAACGTGAATCCACCCACAGTTTAGAAAACCAAAACACTTACTATTTTGCACGTGGTTCCGGGGGACTCCATGCAGATGCGAAGTCTGCAGTGCAGGTAGACTATGGAGTTGTTGATGAAGGAGAAGATTTTCAGCTTAAACTGGGCCTTGTTGGAGTCGCCGTTCTCAATCACGTGGGTATAAGTGTTGGGAACAGGGCAGCTGAGGAGGAGGAGACGGGGATCGTGACCACTTGGTTATACGCTGGCCCTGTTCTCAGGTGGTCACCTACAACTGCATCTGACCACACACAAAGCACTCCCAGGTTCTGTGGATCTGAGCACCGGCTTCCTCTCCAATTCCCCAAAGTGCATATCTATGTCAGTGTTAGCCTGAGCAGCCAGCACCATGGGCGAGATGGTGGTGCAGCACCTCCCAGACCCCTACCTGTTGTTAATGAACCCAAAGGTGACCGGGTCCCTGGCATTGCTCGACGGAGTCGCCCAGCACTCGGTCAGGACCACCTTGAGGTTGCTATTCTGCCTGTAAAGCCCCACTTCGATCTTGACGTCGTCGCTGGCAGACACAGTGTAATTTTGAGGTATCGGAGAATCTCCAATAAATAACTGCATCTCGGTGACAAAATTTCCAGCACCATGGAGATCCTCGATGATGGTGTAAACCCTGCAAGAGAGAGCAGCTTTCAGGAGGCTCATTTTTATGACCTTGTTCTCGTGCCACCCCCAAAAGCAACTCCAGAGAACTGTGGAAATCAGCAGAAACCACCCGAATGCGAGCAAGTGGTGGCTGTGTACTCAGAGCTGGCGTGGCAGGGGCGGCCTCCCGCAGTGGGCCAGCAGAGGCTCACAGGCAGGTGGGGAGGGAAGCTTCACGGCAGAAGGGGGAAGGTGTGGTGGGCCCTGGTGGAGGAGCCGGGTGGGGAGCTGCAGGCGGGGAACTACACGCAGCCCTCCTGGGCGACTGGCCAGGGTGTGTACTGGCTGTGTCTGGTTAACCCTGAATTGGAAGTGAGAACGACGATTAGGGAAGCCAGCAATTACTAATCAAGTCCCAGTCACTGTCTCTAAGAAGGAACCTCAAAGGCTGAAACCCTACAGAACCGGCAAAGTGGAGGTGCTCGGGAGAAGCTGGGCTGTGCAGAGCCGGGGGTGTTTGTCCGCTCACCCCCACTCTGGGGTGTAGCCCAAGGATGTCAGGAGGTCGTTCCGGAAGGCACAGTAGATGGGGCTCAGGATCTTCAGGTGGTGGATGACACCCTCTGGGGACAGGTCGTTCCGCAGCGTGGTCCTCACCACCGTATTCGTCAGGTTCTGAGCACAAATAGGGGTGTGAGCAAGCTCCAGGCCCCCAAACCCGCCCAGGGACCACGGCACTGGGTGGTGGTGGGGTTGGGACAGTTCTTTGTTAAAGCTTATCCCCAAAAGTGTAAAAACCCTGACAGTTTTCCCCTAGCATAAATTGCCAAAGACAGCCTGCAATTTTGGTCTTCTGCTTCCAGTTCATTTCTTGTCTCCCAAAAGGAGGCAGCACTTGCTAACTGTACCTATACATGTGGGGGGAAATCTTAGCTTTCGACAAACGTTCACAACCATCAGAAGCTCCTGTGGATTCCAGGGCATGGATGGCTAATAAGAGACAAATTTCCCTTTTCTTTCAAAATGCCCCAGACCTGTCGAACTAGGTGTTTGGAGAGAGCTAGCGATGTCTGCAGCCTCCACCCCGAACCCCACTGCTGTAGGGGGCAGGGAACAGCCTGGGGTGTGCATGGCAGTCTGAATGCCATGGCAGAAGCTGCCCTCGTTTTTAGCATCTTAACCTGTGCTCTACAGACCTGTGGGGGTGTGTGTTAGCAGGGCCGTGCACTAGCGGGGACCTGAGTGCAAGCCCCCCCTCTAAGTCAGCAGACTCCGTGGCTTACAACTGAGTATGCTGAGAATCTGCAGGGGCTGCCTGCCCACTGACAGCAGCACACTCCCTCTCAAAATAGCCCTCGGGCTAAAATTGTCTCCCACCTCCCTGTGAGAGAGCTAAGAATCTTGAAGAAGGTGAAACAAAACCTGGATGGTTATTTTTAAGTTGTGGGAGTTTGAAGAGTTGGAGTAGGGATGAAGAAAGCTTTGCGATCCCCGAAAACCTCAGTGCAGGTTGCTCCTTCAACCCAGGGGACCTGGCTGAGGATTCCCTAGGAAAGTGGGGTCCCACTGGACCCACACACACTCTGCTACGGCCTGGGACACAACCACCCCACCTGCAGTCCTGGCTGCCTGTCCCCAGGCCAGCTCCACACCCACAAGTTGTCTCTTATGTCCCCCCCCCAGCCTCTGGGGTCCTCCTGCCTCCACACCCCAGGGGTGGGCTTCCTACTCAGCCCCAAGATCCAAATTGAGCCCCCTCCTCAGGATGCCCGCCCCGCTGCCACCTTGTCAACCCTCCAGGCTCCACCTGGTGCCATGGCTCTTGGATTCACCTGACAGCTCTGCCCTAGCCCCATGCCCACCTGCACCTTTGAGCCATCATGCCCAGGGCTCCAAACAGAAGCATCTGAGAAGGTGCCTCACCAATCTTGTGCCCCTCAAACCACAGTGACATGGCTGGTTCACAGAGGCAAGGCAACCTTGACCTCGACCTCCCTGGAGTTGCTGAGCCTCCAGGTCTCAGCCGCTAAATGTGGATACTAACATGTGGCCCCTGGGGTGTTTGGGACTCAGTGTCATTGTGCACGCAGACCACCCAGCCCACACAGGCCTGGGGGAGGCTCAGGGAATGTCCCCCTTCCCCACTGCTTGTTCCAGAGAGCAAGGCCAGGCCCCTGAGTTCCTACCCAGCTGACAGAAGTCGCTGTCTCCTTCTAACTTCCCTGGTGAGAACAACCTTCTGCATCCGACTCCTTGACTGGGAGCTGCTCCCCTGCTGAGCCCCTTCCTCTGATCCCACCTTTAACACCAGACCCCATATCCGCCTCCACACCCAGTAAATCCGCCCTTCCATGAACACCCAGGAAAACCTCTTTCCCTAACTGGACTTCCCTCTGTCCTAGGAGTCTGTCACGCATCAAAGAACTTGGAATAAAGAGAGTGCTTGATAGGACCACAATCCCCCACTTCCCACCAACCCCCACACAAACCCATACACACACTCACACACGTACTCATACTCTTAACACATTCACACATGCCCACACTTATACACACACACACACATATTCAACATGGCCACATACACACATTCTCACATTCACACACATCCATAAATGCATTCAAACATGACACTCACGTGATACACACGTACACACTCATTCATGTGTTGACACGCATGCACTCACACATTCACACAGTACAAACACACCCACACATACACGGGTGCACATTCACATATGCAGACCCACACGTTCACACACATGCACGCCCACACTCACTCTTACACACACAGACATGTTCAGACACACGCATACTCACACTCATAATCACATGTGACTGTTGGGCTTTCCTGTCCCTTTTCCTGCCCTCCTCCTCCCTCCTGCCTGTGCAGGGAGGATTTTATAAACCCCTACTGTGAGGTGCACCCCAGGCCCTTTGCCCCAGCATCCCTGCAGGGCGGGGCCACAGCACCCTCTCGACTCCAGGCTGCAGCCTGGTTCCCAGCTGGGAGCTCAGCTCATCTTGACCCCCTTTGCTGTGTTCCCTGCTTACAGTCAGAGACCTCAGGGTACGGGGTCTTGCCTGGTCCCCATATAGAGTTCTAGATGGCTCAGAGCCCCTGGGCCTGAGTGCACAGCCCAAGCCTGGCCTGCCCAGGGCTTACGCTTTGCAGGACAGTTCCACACTCGCTCCAGCTGGCCATCAGGAGCACGTGTGTCCTGTTGCTGTCGCTGACGTTGCAGGAGGGGTGTCCCAGGTACAGGGAGGACTCGGGGATGGATTCCTGCTGCAGGAAGTGCTTCTGGATGGTGATGGCTACCTTCTCAATCTCACAGAGCACCTGGACAGCTCCAGTCAGGTTCAGCCGCTGGGACAGGCCCTGGGGGACAGTGCTGGTGCCTGGCATGAGGGTAGCCCTGGCTCCTGCTGGGGTGGGGAGCCTCTCTGTGCCGGGGGCCCCAGTCACGTTACCAGGAGAGTCACCTGCAAAGCATGAGGAGACACAGGCAAAGGGTGGATCTGTTTTTCTGGGCTGGCACAGAGAAGTAGTTGTGAATAGCAGCAGGGCTGCTCTGTGCCCTGCAGCAGCCACACCTGGGGACTGCACACTGGAGCCACAACCACACACATGTATATGTTGCACGTTTCCACCAGAGCAGGCAGCTGGGCTTGTGGTGGGCTCCAGGTGGGGGTCTGATGCTGGGGGCGTGCCGAGCTTGTGAACATGGGATGAGTTGTCTGCCCAGAAGCCCTGAGTGTGACCTCTAAAATGAAGGAGTGATGAGTCTGGTTCCCAAGGTGCTCCCTCCCTGGCCTACATGGAAACAGACCCCAGACATGGCTCAGCAGGCTCTCTGCACCCTCCTCCCATGGCTGGCTTGGGCAGGGCTCACCCAGCACTCTGCAACCTCCCGCAGCTCTCCTGGATCTCTGGGATAAAGTCTAAACCACTCCTCACTCCTTCTTAGCCTTCTGCAGGGCCTCTCCCACCTCCCTGGACAGCCTGCATCCCACTCTCTGCCATCCATCTCCTGCGGGCTCAACATTTCAGCCAGCCCAGACAGTGTGCTTGGACCGTGCCCACCTTCAACAGCTCCGTTCTCATGCTGCACCCACCCACCCACATTCTGCCCTCCCCACCGGGTGCCGCCTTACCTATGCGTTAAGACCAGCTCCAAGACACCTCCTCCAGGAAGCTCTCCATGACCATGCTCATTGGACTGACACAGCCTAGCCTCCTCTGTGCCTCCTGCTTCTCCCTCAAGCAGAGCATGTTCCGCTCTCCCCATGGTACCGTGTTCACTCATATAAATGACTGTCCCCCTTCACTGGACTGCAGGATGGCAGGGGTCATCTCAGGGTCAATGCTAAATCCACTAAGGCTCCTTTTAACAGGAAAAGTGCTGAGTGGAAAGAGTGGCCAAGCAGAAACATCTCCCATGTGTTGCTTGTCACATGTGCTGGGAGTCTCACAAGATTGTCTTTTAGCACATGAGCACCGACCGCCTGAGTTTATGTGCATATTTTCTCATCATGGACAGAAGAACCAGCCCTTGGAGATATAAGGCACCACCCAGAAGCCTAGACACGTGTGAAAGAATGAGAAGGGACATGCACACCTGTGAGTACACACACGTGCATACACACACAAGCACACATGTGCACACACCACACACACACAGGAAACTTGCCCATGGCGTGAAAATATGCTGACCTCATTTGGACAAGAAGCCCTTTGTGACTGAATGTCCTTAAAAGAACTGATTATGGGACAGTATTCTGGGAAAAGGATTGTGAGCATGTTACCGTCACAGGGTCTTCCAGAATATTCTACATGGTAGTCCATGGCTCCTCCCTCACAGCTGCAGGTGAAAGACCCCAGGGTGTTTCTGCAGGATGTCCCCGGCACACAGTCATCCTCCTGTCTTTCACACTCATCATAATCTGCAGGACACATAGAACACAAAACAGAAATGTCAGGGAGTCTGAGGGCTGTGGGTGGGGGGCGCTATCAGGCTGCTGTGCACACTGCCTGTGGGGAAAGGGCATCTCAGGAAGCGACAGAAACTGCCCATTGAGGCCAGGCCACAGTGGAGACTGTGGGTCCTGAACCATTCAGGGAGCTTTCTGCTGGGGCTGGGTGGGAGCCCATGGGGACGTCTGCAGAGGCTGTTCTGGAAGGAGGCATCTGGTCCCAGGGCTGGGAGGGAGCTCTGGGCAGAGCAGAGTCATCCCTTCCGTCCCCTGGAGCAGCCAGGATATGGGCAGACCCTCCCATTCACCCCGGGTCCAGGCCGAGGGACCCAGGCTGCAAGACCACGCCAGGCAGAAGACCCTTGCCCCCACCTGCTGTTACCTTATGCTCAGTTACTACGTGGCTGACAAACAGCGACGCAGGTGACTGTGGAAGACGGGCACACACCAGAACCGCACAGCCAAGAGCACACAATGCCCCTGCTGGCATGGCGACGTGTCACCTCCTGCTGTTTAACACACAGACTGCACCCTGTCTTGCTTCCCCTTCCCCACGTCACCAACACCTTCCACCTCAACTAACCTTGTCTTTGCAACTGCACAACAGCCACGGCATGGACAGACCATAATTTACTGTCTTCCCTATTATGGGAAGATTGGTTATTTCCAATTCTTTTGCTTTTACAGTAACACCGAAGATGAATATCTTTGTATATAAACTGTGATGCAGGCTGAGATCTACTTCTTTAGGATAAAGTCCCAGAAGTGATATTCCAAAGTCGAAGTGAATGAATATGTGCAAAGCTCTGGATATTTATTGCCAAAATTGATTCCCAGGAAGTGTGAGCAACTTCTATCCCCGCCAGCAGCAATCCACACAAGCACCTGCTTTACTGCATTTCCGTCAGTATTAGTGTTATCATTAACAAAACCATCTTCCCGCAATTTCATGGGCAGAAAGAGCAACTCATTTTAATGGGAATGTGTTTGATTATCACATCATTGTTAATCATTTGTGTTTTTTCCTTTATTTATTATCTATTTGGGTCTTTTGTGGATTTATCTATCAGGTTCTTAGTATTTGTCATCTATTTGTATGATCTCCTTATATATTTAGGATTTTAATTCATCAAATTATTGAAAGTATTTTTTGGTTTGCTGCTTGCTTTATAGTGGTGTCTTTATTTTGTTTGACATAAAACATTTATATTTTTATGTGGTCAAGTATTTCAGACTTTTTCTCTGAAAATCTGATTTTCCTTGGGAAATCCTTCTCATTCCAAAAATTAGAAAATATTAATTTCAGTGTTAAAAATCTTAATTTTTTCATTCGTGTAACTATAATCTACTCAACTTTTATTTTCAAATATGATATGAGAAAAGAATCTAGATTTCCTTTTTCTCCCTGCCTTTTTGCCAATTATTTTTACTAGGATCTCTTTGGAGACTGTGCTTAGGAGGAGGTCTGGCTGCAGAGAGAGACGCATCTGTCCTCCGCCCACTGAAACAGGGAGCAGATGCAGCGGTGGAGGCAGTCCCCCAAAACAGAGCAGCATCCCTGGGAATCTCTGCAGGTTCACCTGAAGATGTTTTCAACTCTTAAACTTAAATTAAAAAAACAACAACAATATAGTAGCAATAAGAGAGGTGAAGAGGTCCTGTCTAGTTCACATTTTCATCTCATTCCGTGGTAAGCCCACACGAGGGGGCACATGGGGACACATCTTTCAAAACCAAAGGGCAGTAGCCAGAGTCTAGCTGCCTCTCATTCCAGAATGTGGGCAAGGTCTCCATCGGGCCAAACGCCACCTACCCCGAATGAAGGTGTCACCTCTGACCACCTCTAGCAGAGAAGCCTTCTGCAATGACACAAGGAACGCGGCGGACACCTCCCTGACGTTCAGGTCTGCGACTATCAGCAGGTCAAACTCCACCAGGACACTGCCGTTGGTGATGCTGGTGACTTCCATCCTGATCCTGCCAGCATCCATGTGGCCAAGCAGGTTGGCCGGCAAGGAATCCCGCACCTGTGCAGGAACAGACCCTGTGAGAGGAGCTACCACCAAGAGGAAATGAAACGTTGGTCCTCAGGGTGGCTCCCCCTGGGATTCTGCCCAGCAGTGGGGCTGGCCTGTGGTGAAAAAGTAAAAGCCACAGATCAGTCCTGGGCCCTTTCCTGTCTGTCGTGTCCCTGAGCCCAGCACAAACTTTGGGAGTGTCTGTGATACTGAGAAGAGCCTGTGTTCCCCATCACCAGCAAAGAGTTACAGACAAATGTTTGCAGGTTGAGCATGAAGCAAGGTGCACAGGCAGGGACCCCACCCACAGGGGGCGTATGACTTACTGGGGGCTCACAAGGTCATTTAGAATCTGCTACCCTTAGCTCAGAGCTATGAAGGGCAGGGTGCTGAGTAAGGAGCCCTTTGCTTTTTTCTAGAACTACCCTTTTTTTTTTTTTTTCCTTTTTGTCTTTTTTCGTGTCCGGCAACGGATCACAACCCTCAGTGTCGCGCCCGTACCGGACCGGACCAGCAACGGGATCGCAACCCTCGGTGCTGCACCCGCACCTCGCTCAGCCAGTGAGCGGGAACCGGTCTGTTTGTGGGATCCGAACCCTCGGCGGGAGCGCTGCCGCGCTCCCAAGCAGCGCACTGT